ACTCAGACCAGTAATATTTGGGGTCACAAGTTTTTGCCATGGATATTTTGTGGGTTAGAAGACAAAAAATTTGGGAACCAGTGGATTAAATGACTTAGGCGAGAAGAAAATGGAACAAAATTGTCAGATAAAATAAAGAAAAACATCTGCTTTCCCTGCCTGCTGACTCTCATTGAAATGGTTTTTGTATTTCCAGTGGCTGGTCATGGAATATTATTTTTCTTAATTTTTTTCTCGCTTTGTAACACAGTTGGTTTCTTGAAAAATGTTACATAAAAAGGGGGGGAAACTGCGGAAAAGACCTTTAACCCCCCAAAAATAGGTCATTTAATAAAATAAAATCCATATAACAGTGCATTACGTTTTCTTTCATGTACAGCCAGTATTCCTCATCACATTGCATAAAGCCAAGGCAATACRTTTCATTTAAGCACTTTAATACAAACACGTATCTTTTTTTAATCGTTCGTGCTCTTATTGTGAAAAAGAACAACTATCGGCAACTTCCGGTTGAACCCAGCAGCAACAGGTCAAGTGTCGGACGTGGAAAAGTTGCTGGAGAAAGTGAAAGGTGAAGCTGAACAATGAACGCGTCAAGTTTCAGAGACTGTCAGGTGAGTGGCAGGGGCCTCATTTAATGAAGTAAAGAAGTTGACAAAGGTCGTTTTTGTGAAGTTATTGATTTATTTTGTAGTAAAGTGAAGCTGGAAGTTTAAAAATGGCGGGTGGGATTCRTTTGTTTCTGCTTTCGCTCTGGAAAAAAAAACAGAAGTAGGAGCAGAGGGAGGAAAAATGTGTTTCTAAATTGAACTTGTTTTCATAACTTGAAAGATAAAGTATTTAGTAGCGATACACTTATATTTGCATTGGTATGCAGTACATTTATATTTGCATTTTCATATTTAAAAGGCATGGAAAGACGAAGGTCTTGCTCTGTCCACCAGCAGTAATGAGGCGTGCAAACTGTACGATGCGATACTCACCCAGGTAAGCTGCATAACATTTTACATGCTGTATAATGATGAAAACAATATAAAACATTGGCATTTTTAATTTTCGTTTTCTAGTATGTGAAATGGCGAAATGATGAAAGCTTGGGAGGCATTGAAGGATGTATTTCTGCTCTGCAGACAGCTGACCCAAACTTTGGTAAATATTAATATTCATGAAGCAGGAATCCTGCAACATTGAATTTAGTGAAACATGGTTGTCTGCAAGGAGACACGARGCTATTAAAGAGTAACTTACCCCAAAATTAACTTTTTTAGCTGATAAACTGTCTAGAATGTGTCTAAAATGTTATATAGTACTGCTTCTGTGCTAATTTTGATGTTTTTGTGCGTATTTGTTCAAAT